CTGGACCTCAGTGTCCAGGCTGAACGATGGGGGTGGAGACGCTCCTTCAGGTATACTGGGCCGAGGCCGTTTAGGGCTTTAAAGGTTAGCACCAACACTTCGAATTGTGCTCGAAAATGTACTGGGAGCCAATGTAGGTCTTTCAGGACCAGAGTTATATGGTCTTGGCGGCTGCTCTCAGTCACCAGTCTAGCTGCCGCATTCTGGATTGGTTGCAGTTTCCGGGTCACTTCAAAGGTAGCCCCACTGTGCTAGATAGACCAGTGCTTACTGGAGTAAGGGCTCGTTCACTTCTACTTGGCCTGTGCCTAGAAAGCAGGGGATCAAGTAGTTTTCTGTTTTCTCCTGCTGCTTTCCCTGGGAAAAACCTGCTCTTCAGCGCTGAATGGGAGCAAACGTCAATCCATGGGATAGCGGTAAAGATCAGATTTCTCCAGGTTAAAGTGGTGGATCAAGCAGAAGTCCGTATGAGCCCTTCTTATATTATTATATTCCTGAGAGTGCCAAGCCGATGAACACCTGCATCTGGGATCAATGTCTTCTGGGGCACAGCCTCAACAAATGAACGCTTAACTCCGGCCCCACAAGAATGTGCAGTTTGCTGCTTCTCTGCCTCCCCAGATTACAGGGGAAGCTCTTTCTCAAGATCTCTCATCTGCTTTGGTGAGAGACCCCCCCCTGCAAGTTTCTGAGGACCTCTGGTGTCTTTTAGGCTAGATTTGTAAACCGCTGATTAATGGAGAGGGATTTGATAGTATGCATTGCTGTGCAGAATGCCCCAAACAGATGTTGTGGGTGGCAAGTGCGTTCCAAAAGGCGTGGAGAATTTGGGTGGGACCCTGAATTTCTGGACTGCAGCGTTCCAGAGAAAAGGGTTAGTTTTCCATCCCCCCCTTTCGGTGGGGCCTTCCTAGCTGGCCGGATTGATGAGAGGGGATGAGACAATCATATAGCCCTCCTGCAAAAAAAAATCCCTTTTAACCGTGATCTTTGTCATGTCCCGGGTGAATTTGGAATTTTAGTGACCGGGGTCCCGCTGGGAGAGAAGCTGACTGGGGTTTGCAAGACGTGCATGCTTAGGACACGTCCCCTTGTGGTGTGCGCTTGGCCACGTGGCTCTTGTGCGACCCTGGTGCCTGGGTGTTGGGGCTTTGGCCGGTTAATGATTAATCTGCACTGCAAGGGCAGCAGGAGGTGGGATTTGAAGGCCTGGATTCTTCCACCCCCACCCCCACCCCAGAGGATAAGTGTGGGCACTGTATTTGAGGAGTAAACAAACCCAGGGGTCATGGACCACTGTGGGTGGGTGGCAGCAGTGGAGGATAAAGGTTGGGGCAGTGGCCTGCAGGGAGCTGTATTCACTTCTCCCCGAAATCCTGCTCCTCCTCATCAGAATTTGTGAGGAATCTCAGGTACTCTTAAACGTCTCACACTTCTAGGTTTTAAGACTGAATCACCATTCAACTCTTGAATTCTAAAGTTAGGCCTCTTTTGCTGAGCTCGCCTGCAGATTTCAGGACATTAGATCTCAGCTATCCACAGATTCATGACCGGCAAAGTTTAACCTGCCCTTTCACAAGAACTGGAGTTGCAAAGGAGCTCTGATCCCACCTGGCAAAACCGAGGGCTTATGTAAATGTGTGCGCAAAGGAGCAGACCTGTGTTGCAAAGAGCTTTCCTTTTGTCTAGCAAATTCGGATCTCCTTGATTGCGGATGGCATTGCTTAAAGGGTAAAAGTAAAGGGACCCCTGACCATTAGGTCCAGTCGCAAACGACTCTGGGGTTGCGGCGCTCATCTCGCTTTACTGGCCGAGGGAGCTGGCGTACAGCTTCTGGGTCATGTGGTCAGCATGACTAAGCCGCTTCTGGCGAACCAGAGCAGCGCACGGAAACGCCGTTTACCTTCCCGCCGGAGTGGTACCTATTTATCTACTTGCACTTTGACGTGCTTTGAACTGCTAGGTTGGCAGGAGCAGGGACCGAGCAATGGGAGCACACCCCATTGCGGGGATTCGAACCGCCCACCTTCTGATCGGCAAGTCCTAGGCTCTGTGGGTTAACCCACAGCACCACCCGCGTCCCTATGGCATTGCTTAGTGCACATCAAAGAAGGGGACACTTTCCAGAAATGCAGGGAAGCCTGGGGACAGGGGTGTGATTTCAGATCCAAGGACTGGCAGTGGAGGCAGCAAAGTTTAATGGCCTACTCTCTTGCAAAAGGCTTGCATTTTATGGTCGCTTATTGTGGGTTTTGTATGCCTCAAAATATCTGTAGTAATATCAACAATCACTCTTATTTTAAGCAAAGGGTTTGTCCCTTCAGCATCCCTACGCAGTACACAGGCCCACTGGAATTATTTATCTTAAAAAAGGCACCGTCTAGCAACCTTCCTCAGTCTAATGCCCTCCAGATATTTTGGACTACAACTCCCATCAGCTCCAGTGGAAAAATAAAATGGAAGGAACAAGGCACCATTGTGACTCCATCTTAGGTCCCTTAGTTCCTTCCAGTTTCTCTGGAAAGTCAAATAAGAAGCCTGAGGGGAGCCCTGAGAGATAGGATGTTTGACCAAGGAAGGACCTTCATGTCCCACTTTCTGCTCTTCCCTTTCCCCATCTTGGCTTGAAGGCTCCTTAATTTGGGGCTTTAACGTTTCTGGGACGGTGTTTTTGCTCTTGTGGAGAGAGGCAAGGCCTCTGCGGTTGCTAACAGCCGCTACAGGCGATCTCCCCGCCATTTTGAATCTTGTGGAGCGCTTTGTGAAAGAAGGGCCGAATCCAGCCCCCTGTGGTGGGAAAACAGGAATGGCAGGGAGATTAAAAAAACAACAACCCAAAAACATTTTATTGACCCAGTGCTTTTCAGATTAAAATTCTACAGAGGCACTTAAAAGAGCACAATGCTCTAGAGCAGTGTTCCCCAACCTTGGGCCTCCAGCTGTTTTTGGACTACAACTCCCATAATCCCTAGCTAGCAAGACCAGTGGTCAGGGATGATGGGAACTGTAGTCCAAAAACAGCTGGAGGCCCAAGGTTGGGGAACACTGCTCTAGAGCACTTGGCTTTCTAGGCACCCCTGAAGAAGAATGTATTTCAGCACATGTTGGACCAAAAAAACTCCCACTTTTATTCTCGTACACCCTTGGGATTTCATCTCCTGACATTTGTTCCTCTCAAACTGCCAAAATAGGCTTGTGTACGAACAGCCAGGGTGGCAATGGGGCCTGGCAAGCTGTGTTGTTGGCCGGCCGTTTCAAAATGGCTTCCCTTTTGCTATGGGCAGGGACTGCTAGGCCGAAGCAAAGGTCCGGCTTCCTTTGAGTCAATGACATGGTTGGCTTGTGCTGGCTGAGGCAAATATTCCCCAGACAGATGTCAATCTTGCCCATTAGTTGGTTCTTTTAAGGAAAGCGACCCATCTCTATGGCACTCCCTCCTATTAGAAACCAGATGGGCACCATCTCTGCCAGGGTTCAGGTGCCAGGCTAAAAACAGCTGGATTTCAGGAGCCCTTTGTAACCGTGAATGAGTGTTTCAGTCCCTTTAAAGTTTTGTATATTGCATTTTTTTTTGTTAGCTGTTTTGAGACCCAGATGTGCTGAAAAGTGGGGTAGAACTTTTGATAAATACCGTATTTTTCGCTCCATAAGACACACTTTTTTCCTCCTAAAAATGTGAGTGCGTCTTATGGAGCGAATGGCGCTGTGCAGAGAGGGAGAGCTGCGCAGCGCCCCTTCAGCAAAGTGCCTCTCCTGGCTTCTCCCTTAGCCGTGTGCAGCCTCTTCGGACAGGGGGAGCCTTCATCCCGCTGCCCGGGAGAGGCTGCTTGCGGCTATCCCAGAAGCCAGAACAGCCAGATGCTATCCCAGAAGCCAGATCCCTCTTGCTGTTCTGGCTTCTGGGATTCAGAATATTTATTTTCTCGCTTTCCTCCTCCCAAAAACTAGGTGCGCCTTATGGGCTGGTGCGTCTTATAGAGCGAAAAATACGGTAAATACCTAAGGTCCTGTTGATGGGCCAGAATTAGGGTTGACCATATGTCCTCTTTTCCCCCAGGACATGTGTACTGTTTGATGGTTGGGTTTCAGTAGCTGCCCTGCGAATCTAGGAAGCTGAACGGGCTTAGAGAGGAGAAGTATAAAAATGATGGTGCAGATTTCGCCTTGCATTAAACTCAGGAGGCGGAACTTGTGCAATTTGGCCGACATATTTAATCGGACTCTATACTGTTAACATCTAAGAACAGTAAGAGCTGTTCGACCCTGGAACGGTCTCCCTTGGGAGGTTGTGGTCACTCCTTCCTCGGAGGTTTTTAAGCAGAGGCTGGAAGGCCATCTGTCGTGGATGCTTTAGCTGAGATTCCTGCATTGTGGGGAGGGGGGTTGGACTAGATGACCCCCGGGTGTCCCTTGCAATTCTATGATCTAGCCCTGTTCGCACAAGCGTGTGGTTTCCTTGGCACTTTGAAGTAAGCTGTGTCTCTTTGCAGGCGTTTGAAAGATGAAAAAGGACTACAAAGGGAGATAACGATACGGAGATACAAGCCAAGGTTTATTGGTAGTGATACCGATTCAATCCAAAATAAAATAGGTAAGTTCCATTTTCAGCAATGTAACTTCACTGTGCCTATTCCCCCCCCCCCATTTTCTTCTGGGTTACGCTCTTATTTTTGTTTTTGTTAATTGTACACTGTGATTGGGCTGCCTTTTCCGATTCGTCTTTGGAAGGGTGGCAGAGATCTGATTGACATAGCTGTCAAGTGTCCCTTATTTGGCGGGACAGTCCCTTATCCCAGCGCCGTGTTCCCACTGCTGTCCCTTATTGATGACGTCCCTTAAATAAGCTACTGAAGATAATGGGGCTCTTTCTATGTCCAGCTGTGCTTTGTCAACAACAAATTGTTGCTTTTTTGTGTTGAATATATGCTATATGGTAATTTATGGACCTAATAGGTATCTAAAGCCATTTGCACGCAACAAAACATGTATTCTATCAAAGTAATTGTTGATCCCTTATTTTGGCTGCTGGTCCCTTATTTTCGAGGCTGCTGGTCCTTATTTTCAAATCTGTAAGTTGACAGCTATGCTGATTGAGTATCTGGGCACGATAGTGGCAGGTTTTATTTTTTAAGTTTACGCCCGCTATTTCTGCTCTGCAGAGGTTGTTGTTCTGCAGAAGGGTTTGTAGCTCAATGGTACAGCATTGGCGTTGCATGCAAAAAATAGGGCCAGATTCAACCCCTGGGATGTCCCCGTGGGGCTGTGGGAGAAGCCTGTCCCAAATCTTGAAGAAGTGCTGTCAGTCTGTGGTGTTAGGCGAACAGTGAGCTGGGTCTGACGTAGGCAGCTTCACTCATTCCCACCCTCAGCCCTGGAAGATCGGGGGAAGTGTGTGTTAAAAATAAATAAATATTTTCGAGGTCTTAAGTACTGGGAGCCAGGAGTCTTTTGTTGGCTTGTGCCACCAGATCAGAGTTATAAATTCCTTGCTAGCGGTGGGATGGCGTTTGGGGGAGGGGAAACCCTGAATACCGTTTTGTTTTAATTATCATTAATACCGAAAAGAAAAGGACACTTGAAACAAACGCCCCCTTGAATTGTCTCTAAAGTATGATATATTAAATCAGCTCTTACCCTTTTTCCCAACAGAAAGCACAAATATTTAAATATATAAAGCCACTTTTTCTTTTAAAAAAAGAAGAAGATAGATGTGAACTATATTTTCCCTGCTCCTCTTCAGGCTGAGGCCTAAATTGTCTTTGGGGTAACCAAACCCGTGTGTGTGTGTGTGTGTGTGTGTGTGTGTGTGTAACAATGGAGTCCTGCCACGTATCATTCTGACCTAAACGGGTGGGTTTGAGAATCTCAAGACAAGAGTTCAACCGTTGACTGTAACATCTGCGTTGAGACAGGAAAGTCCAATGTTCTGGGCCAAGGGGTGGTTCCCCAGCTTGCAAATTTCCATTTCTCTGCCCCTTTTCCCATCCAAGCTCCACTCCTGGAGATATATCAAGCACCTTTAGTCACCGTAAAATTCAGAGTGGGGTCCACTATTTTGAGGTGGTGGGGATCTGCCATGGGTGCGAACCCATGCTGAAGTATAGTTGACTCCATCCATGGCCTTTATCACCCAGCTGGCCATTGGTTGGTGGCCCAAAGGTGTGTGAGCTTGTTCTTCCTTGCTTTTCTCTGGTCATGATGGGCAAGTGAGTCCATTGACACGGAAGGCCGCCAAAGGAGCTCTGGACCGCTATGAGGCAATTTCGGTTTTGAGGTCTGGAAAGCGTAATGATTCGTCAGAGAGTCTAGTAGGCCAAGTCTCTGGTTGCTTTCTCTGTCCCACGGGCCACGATGCGATTGGATGGCGGTGGGAGAGAACATCTCGTGGATGGTCTTGCTGGTGGTGGCGGCACGAGGCAGAGCTTCTCTTGTTCCTTTGGCCCCCTCCTATCTCACGACGACAACCTTACGAGGCGTTGAGCAAGGAGCGGCTGTACAGGTTCTGATAATAGGAGCCGGTCTCGCTGAGCGAAGTGGACGCCTCATAGGGGTGTTTGCTTTCCACCGCGTGTGGGGAGCTGTAGCCGCTGTAGGCCATGGCTTGCTCGTAGGACTTCAGGTCAATCTTGTGGTTCTGCTCCGTGGACATCAAGTTGGTGATGGAAAAGGGATGGTTAAAGTTGAACTGAGGGTCCATTTTGAGGTCGCTCGGGAGATCCAGGTTGGTAATCGAGGTGGCAAAGTAGTGGCTATTCATGGACTGGGAGATGGGGGCTGGCGAGGCCTCGGAAACTGGGGATGAGCCCTGACCCCCGGAACAATCGAGTTGCACCAAACCCCTTTGCTCCTCGGAGCCATGGGAGGTGTCCGAGTGGCCCGACTCTGCTCCTTCCGAGCCCGTGTTGGGACTCTGGCCTTCCTGAAGACCCTCGGGCATCTTGGAGGCCTGCTCTTGGGCGTTGGAGCCTTTGGAGTTCGGCTTCTTGGCCTTGTCCTCGATTTTGAAACGCTTCTGCCTCCTCAGGTAACAGCCGTTCTCAAACATGTTGCCCGAATTCGGGTGGAGGGCCCAGTAGGAGCCTTTGCCGGGCTTGTCCGGGGAACGGGCCACCTTGACGAAGCAATCATTGAAGGAGAGGGAGTGGCGGATGGAGTTCTGCCAGCGCTGCTGGTTTTCGCGGTAGTATGGGAAGAGGTCCATGATCCACTGGTAGATCTCGTTGAGGGTCAGCATCTTGCTCGGGGCCTGCTGAATCGCCATGGTGATGAGGGAGATGTAGGAATAAGGAGGCTTAGCGTGGGTCAGCGTGCGCCGGTACGACTTGTTGATCTCCTTGGGCCTGTTCATGCCTGACGGCGAGTAGCTTAGCGGGGCCATGGACTGGCCGACATTTTGGTAAGGTGACAGAGAGTTGAGTGTGGGGGCCTGAGCTCCCAGCTGAGTCAATACTGGGCTGACGGGAGACGCCACCGACGGGAGGCCCATCGAACTGGTGGCGTTGGTCAGTCCAGTGAGAGAAGGGCTACTCAATCCGCTGTTTGGATAAGGCATGTTCATGGAGCTGGGGGAAGTGAGGGGGTTCAGCGTCACGTAGGAATTAATCGAGTTCATAGGCCCCAAGCTGGACGTCATCGTGCTCACCGAAGGAAACACCTGTGGGAGACAAAAGGAGACGGTTACAGGAGAGTCGGAGCATTCCCCAGGGAGACAAATGGCAAAGAAATGGTCCAACATTTGACGCTTTCGATGGTTACACAGCAGGCAGAAATCAAGAGGTGGAGCTTTTCCTGCCACTGAAGTACAGTAAAAGCAGACAGCTGCACCTGTTGAATTTGTCTCGTGCCACAGATGAAAAGGTGTTGATGACGGAACAACCGCTTGCTCAAAGAATGGAGGGAAAAGACCATTTTATGCTAGGAAGTATGCTAGGAAGAGGGTCCACTTGCACCACTGACACAAGTTATAAGAGAAAGGGGGACATTTCCTCACAGCGAAGCACACGAAGGGAGGGATTGCAACCTCTCCATTACCTTGTTCTACTAGGGAAAAAAATATACAGATGGGCCACAAACAGAAGGAAGGTCCGCCATCAGGCTTGCCACTGAAATTTTGCGGAAAGGAAAATATGAGATGCACTTGAGAGTTCCCAGGTGAAACATCCCTGGTTAGTACCATCTCACAGGGAACAGAGAGTAGAAAATGCCCTCTCAGAAAGTTTGGGCTGCCATTGCTGAAGCTTTCCTCCATTTCAGACGAGGTGGGCTGGTGGTCCATGAGTCTGGTCATTTCCCCTTGGGGGCGCCATCTTTGTTTACCAGTTCCTTTATTTGCTCAAAGCCACTGAACCAGATGCTTCAAGGCAGCGAAGCAGCGCCTGCTATTTACATAAGATAGGGACTTAATTGGCAAAACTATTGATCCTCGAGGATAAGTGAGGATCTGCTGCCAAGGGATGGGCGATACCAAGCAATGCAGTTTGGTGCCAAACTGTCCTCACTGGCCATATGCCTGTCGTCTGTTGCTGTGGGTGACGGGGGCCATAAATTTTGTTCACGGAGCCTGTTCTGAAGGCCTTGAAAGGCAGCAGGAAGACATCGGTGGACCTGAACGGGTTTTTGTTTAAGAAAGGAGACCTGCCTGAAGAAGCTAGAGTGTTGGGTTTGGCTGGTAGGAAACCCAGATTTAAATCCCAGTTGAACCAAGAATTTCACTGAGACGAGAAGGGAAGGACCACTGCTCATTTGTTATCTAAGAATCCAAAGGGGACTCTTGGTCTATCAGTGCCAACCGTTGAGAAGCAGCAGAGAAGAGAATCCTTCTTAAAAACAAAAACAAAAAAATCCACTCTCCTTTATAGCGATGGCGACAGGGCGCTAAGCATTTAAAAAGTGCTTTTTGGGTGCTTAAAGAGCGTCACATACATGACCACAGCAATCCTTACACCAGGCCTGTAAGGCAGTTCTTTATTACTACAGATGGCCAAGGGAGGGGTGGGGCTGAGAGACAATGGGTTCCCCCCCCAACATTTGAGCATTATTTAGCCCATGGGTAGGCAAACTAAGGCCCGGGGGCTGGATCCAGCCCAATCGCCTCCTAAATCCGGTCCGCAGACGTTCCGGAAATCAGTGTGTTTTTACATGAGTAGAATGTGCCCTTTTATTTAAAATGCATCTGTGGGTTATTTGTGGGGCATAGGGATTTGTACATTATTATTTTTTCAAAATATAGTCCGGCCCCCCACAAGGTCTGAAGGACAGTGGACTGGCCCCCTGCTGAAAAAGTTTGCTGACCCCTGATTTAGCCATTTGCCTCCTTCCCCACCTCATTCAAATTAGATTGGAATAGCCTCCACCCACATGTACAGTGGTGCCCCGCAAGACGAATGCCTCGCAAGACGAAAAACTCGCTAGACGAAAGGGTTTTCCATTTTTTGAGTCGTTCCGCAAGACGAATTTCCCTATGGGCTTGCTTCGCAAGACGAAACGTCTTGCGAGTTCTTGCGAGTTTGTTTCCTTTTTCTTAAAGCCGCTAAGCCGTTAATAGCCGCTAAGCCACTAAGCCGTTAATAGCCGCTAAGCTGCTAATAGCCGTGCTTCGCAAGACGAAAAAACCGCAAGACGAAGAGACTCGCGGAATGGATTAATTTCGTCTTGCGAGGCACCACTGTATCTGAATTTATATATGAGAAACAACTTTGGTCTTTCCCGCCCATACCAGCAAGCATTCCCTTTTGTTTTTGCGCCTGCTTTCTCATTGGTTGATTCAGTTATGCCAATTAAGAACTGACGAGCCACGCACGCTGCGGCGTGCAAAAGCACCCCGGTTGCGCAGTTATAAATTTGCTTGTGTTGCTTTCTGGTTTTGTGCAAACCTGAGGGATAAATAAACAAACAACCCCCCCCCACCTTTTCAGGACTCAGAGCGCACCATAAATAGTTATGAGTACGACTGGAAAAGAAATGAACGCATTGAGGAAGTAGCAGGCATGGAAGAGAGAGTGGCAGAAAGCGAGGGTTGCTCTCGTGTCACCCCAAAACACGGACCCAAATCGGCTGTGACCCTGAACGGAGCAGTTTGCAGCCCGGCTTTGCTCAGCTTATCGGATCATTCCCCCTAATCGGGGAACCTGAATTTATGGAAGGAAAGCATTGACATTGGTGCTGCTTGGGGGGTGGGTAACGTCATGTGGACTATGCAAATTCAATGAGAAACAGACATTAAACTCTGTTATGGGCAAGCCTGGTATGGTCCACCTAGTTAGCCGAGGTGAGATTTCAACTGGGGATTTTCCTGGCGTGACACTGTTTGGCGCTACACTGTTCCGCCTTCCATTTCTTGGAATAAAGCAATCCACCCAAATGTTTGCCTAACAGCCTTCTGCAACCTGTTTTATTGCTCCACCCTCCCAGTTATGGGTGGTGGAGCAGGCGGGCTGTTCTATTGGTTCACTGCCCTTAGAAAATTCCTGGTTATGCAGGGGGTGTGTTGCAGAATGTGGGGGCAGGACCACCACCACTTGAGGGGCGTTCTAGGAGAGGCAGGTGGAAGAGCCTTTTGTGGGGCTGGTGGTTTCTCCACACTGCCCCATCATTCCCAGTCTGATTTGGGGAAAGAGGAAGTACAGTGGTGCCCCGCAAGACGAATGCCTCGCAAGATGAAAAACTCGCTAGACGAAAGGGTTTTCCGTTTTTTGAGTCGTTCCACAAGACGAATTTCCCTATGGGCTTGCTTCGCAAGTCTTGCGAGTTTGTTTCCTTTTTCTTAAAGCCGCTAAGCCGTTAATAGCCGCTAAGCCGCTAATAGCCGCTAAGCCGCTAATAGCCGTGCTTCGCAAGACGAAAAAACCGCAAGACGAAGAGACTCGCGGAACGGATTAATTTCGTCTTGCGAGGCACCACTGTAGAGGAAGAGCCACTGTTTTGTTCTCATGAAAGCTCCTTGTGTGTGACTTGAGGACCAGGGAGGGTCAGAAATGTCCTCTTCTGCTACTCTTCTGTTGACAACATTATGCTCCCAGTCTACAGATTCTCACATGCAACTGCATGCAACCTTACATTGAAATCTGCACATTATCTACACATAAGCCCTCCTTTTCTGTTTTGAAGCTAACTGTGGCTCAACGCTTCCGCCAGCTAGTTTCCGCTAACCATTGTTTCCACTGAGCTGTTGTTCAAAGTGGGTCGGGAAACTGTGGTTTGGGCTAAGAGAAATGGCAGTGTAGATGTAGCAATAATCATAATTTGTTCTGGGAGGCATGATTGACTGTGCAAGAGGGGAGGAGGATTCTAGGAGCCCATTCCTCGATCTCCTGAGCACGGTTTGAAGATGGGACAGAAAAAATGCAAGGAAATTTCCCCCCCTAAAAGCAATGCTACTTAAGTTTCCCAAGCAACAGCTAACCATTTTGCAGAAAATGTAGTCTGGAAATGTTCCCAAGATGTACAACACCATGCTTAGAGATGGTCAAGAGACACAACACACTGCCAAATCGGGTCAAGGTATATGTAAAGTAAGAGACCTTGGAAGAACTTCTGGCCAGAGGAGCAAAAACCGTGACTGGTTTCAGAACGGGGCAATTGATTCCTGAATTTCAGAGTAACTGATTTCAGAACAGAGCTGGATGTACGCACAAATATATGCATTTAATGGTAGGATACATTTTAATTTGGAATTTGGGGCTGTGTGGCCTTGTGCCTATAATTCATCTGAAACGTCAGAAATGCCATTATTATTATTATTATTATTATTATTATTATTATTATTAGTGTCTTGGGGTTCTTGTGAACTTGCACAGGAAGTCTAAGGGCTCTTCAGTGTGGCAGTTTGAAAATGTAATCCTGTATTCTCACCGTGGCCAGCCAGATCAATGCCCATGAGGGAACCCCCGGGCAGGATCAGTGCACAATAACAACTCTCTCCTCCTTTGCCTTCCAGCAATTGGGATTCAGAATCATACCGCCCCATTGAACAAGGCCGATAGCCATTGATAGCCTTTTATCCTCAACGAATTTGACTAATCCTCTTTAAAATCCATCTGAACTTGTCTGCAAGTTCCATTGTTTAACTGCATGAAAAAGCACTTTCTGTTATCTGCCCTGAACCTTCCGACATTCGGCTTCAGAATTATGAGAGAGGGAGAAAAAGTTTCTCTACAAAAAGTGGTTCTCATTTAGCTAATTACTGAGGACCCCCTCCCTATTTTTCAAAAGCCCAGCCACAGGACCTCCTACCTTTGAAAAAATTGATAATTCTACAGTACTAGATTCAGGTAGGTAGCTGGGTTGGTCTGACACAGTCAAAATATATATATAAAAATAAAAAAATTGTCCAGTAGCACCTTAAAGGTAAAGGGACCCCTGACCATTAGGTCCAGTCGTGGCCGACTCTGGGGTTGCGGCGCTCATCTCGCTTTATTGGCCGAGGGAGCCGGTGTACAGCTTCTGGGTCATGTGGCCAGCATGACTAAGCCGCTTCTGGCGAACCAGAGCAGCGCATGGAAATGCCGTTTACCTTCCCGCCGGAGCGGTACCTATTTATCCACTTGTACTTTGACGTGCTTTTGAACTGCTAGGTTGGCAGGAGCTGGGACCGAGCAACAGGAGCTCACCCCGTCGCGGGGATTCGAACCGCCGACCTTCTGATCGGCTCTGTGG